AAAGATGCTTTAAAAAAACCAAACAATCCTTCCCTCCACAACTGCAGAAAACTCTAACAAAAGTCACCTTGCCATTCCAGAAGCTAAAATAAGGACGGAGCAGGAAACATTGTAATGGAACTCCATATATTTTTCCTGAAGAGCAATTAAGCCTTTATTATTTTGCAGTGGAAAATATTCTGATACTGCCACTTGAATTACTCTGCCCTTTGGACTTTGTTCTTGAGGTGATTATTAAATGTGATGGCTTAAGGACACACTTGTGTTATCCTCAGTCCCAAGGTGCTCTGCACATGCAGATCTTTTCTTCCAGCCATTGGTATTTTTAAGTGGAGCTAATGACTAATCACATTGAGCAGATATTCTACAAACTGAACGATCAGTATGGCTTAAACACAAATGTTTCTCTCGACAGCTGTCTGTGAAATCCTTCCCCCTCTGCATGCGGCAGCTGCACAGAGCGCTGCGCGATAACCACCACCTGCGCCACGGAGGACGCATGCAGTACGGGCTCTTCCTAAAAGGCATCGGCCTGACTCTGGAGCAGGCACTGGAATTCTGGAAGAAAGAATTCATCAGAGGAAAAGTGGATGCAGACAAGGTAATTCAACAAATGAAAAGTATCTAAGTATGAGGATGTAGTTAATGTGTACATTAGTGTAGTTTGCATCCTTTATGAAATATGGGTACTATGTGACTAAATTAATTCACCAAGCTGATAAGTGACTGCAAACAGTACTATCTGAAAGGCAAGGTTAGTCTTTTGTTGTTGGCTAATTAAAATAAATAAATAAATAAATTGGACAGCTGTGTGTGAAGTGAGCTTGCCTTAGCAAATTGTCTAAGAATAATAAGAAGAACCTGGAGGTGAACAAGGAAAAGAATATGTTCAAGAAAGCAAGAAAATGCTGTTCAGTTCAACGGTCAGTATTATTAACATATTAGTCGTTGGTCTAACCCTTGCTAATATTGCTGAGAGTATGGTGAGTGAGGATAGTGTAACATGCCATGCATGTGCTATCTCTTTGAGAGCATGAAAAATGTATGCTACTTTTTGGAGACTTGTGGCCTGCTCTTTACCTTGAACAGCCTAGGTAGAATCAAGCAGAATTCCTCTTTCATCTATGTCTGCCTGGTCTGTGGTGTGTGTTAGAGCAGGTATTACACACCCTATGTCAGTTTTGTTTGAACTGTGATACTTCACATCTAATATTGTAAGATCTCAGCTTTCTGGAATATTATAAAGTATTTTGGAGTGTTTGGCAGACAATCTTTTATTAGCTTAGGTTCTCTGTGATGTGGCTATTTATACAAGGTATGAGGCAAAAAGTAGTGCTAGATACCATGAATTATATAGTATGTTTGTCTTTTTCAAGTTCTGGAAGATAGGTCGACTGGTCTGCAGATTTTTTGGGAAGGGGAAAGGCATTCGAAGGTATAATTTGAATGAGTTAAACCTCTGTTAATCTTGCTCCTTAAATGGGATATTATTTAAGAGGAGATATGTATTTTGTTAAAAAAGACATCCAAAATGTATACCCTTACAAAGGTTTCAAGAAAGGATTTGGAGAGGTAATACTGTAAGTTTTGCAGTTAAATGCCTATTAATTACTATCTGAGTTCAGGAGAATACAGACTTTTCATTGCAATTTCCCGTGCTTCAAAGAAACTGAAAGGATAAAAACAAGCTATCAGAAACCATAACAATGTAAACATACATATTTGTTATTTCTGTTTTAAAAAAATATTACATGAACAGATCTGATTCCACCTACATGTGCTTTGACCATGAGTGTATGCGCATACATGAAGACATATATACACCTCGGATCCTGTTCTCAATCACAGGGCTATGACTTTATACTATACCATTTCTCTTGATAGACCCTAGAAATAAATGATGTTTTATGATACTATGTTTAGCTTTGAATATTAGAAAGCATATTGTTAATGTAGCAAGGGGTTGCAGTTACTGCATTTTTTCACAAGCAAGCTGCAGTTTCCCTGTAATTTTCATTCCTCTTAAGTTCTAGATAACCAAATTCAGACTGGTGTAAAAAAAAAAAAGCTGATTTTTTCACACCTGTGACTGAAGTCATTGGCCTGTATTTTTTCCACAGTAAAATGTCATATAATATTTAATGTCCCGAAAAATTTCAGATGAATACAATTGTTACTGGTACTTTCTTATTTTAACAGTTTCTGATACTCTTGCCGTTGTTCCTTTCCTGTAGAGTGAAGATAATTATACTGTTTTGTCTTACCAGTGCATTGTGAATCTACACGCATGGTACTTTTACTACAGACTAAGGTTAATTATTTGTTACTGACTGATGTATTCCAAGTAGGCAGTGTTCAACTTGCTGCAGGTGGTTATGGTTTCAAAACTGTGTGTTCACATTTGTCTTCAATGGCCACAACATTTATGCCAGTTCTCAATCCTAAGAGTCCTTGGCATACAACTTCAGTCTTCAGCAGG